ACGTCCACTGAAGAATATTGTTCGATCCTGAAAATTTAAATCAATGATTTCTCTGGTCATTAACCACTCGTGTTTAAATAAGCTTATTCTGCTATCATATATATATATATATATATAGGAAGCTGCAGGATAAATTCCTTGGATAAATATGTCCGTGTACAGGCTGGGCCAAAAGTAATTGAATAATATCAATTTAAATAACTTTTTATTATAACAGTTACATGCATAAAGTTTAAGTATCATTAAGTCAAGGCGATTAAAATAGATTTTCTATCACAAATTTACTTTGATTAGTAAGCTTTAGAAACTTTATCGTCATGTGTGAAAAATAACATCCTGCATATGCCTTCCATTTGCAGCTTCACAAATAACAGCTCGTTCCATTATATCTGCCATTACCTTTTGCAAAGTTAATGGGCTTATTTCTCTTGTGATTTTTCCCCTGCGGCTTGTTGGCACAATCTTATGGTTGCTTGTGGTTGTTGCCTCTTACCTTGAAATGCCCGTTGGCATTTGAGCCTTGACTTTGATAGTATAATTTTACAATTTGTGTACGTTGGATGGTATTGAATTTCTACATAATTCATTTCCAGGATTGGAAAAAATGTTAAGAAATTGAAAAGTATTAATAAATAAAAAAGTTATAAATAAAAAGGGTCAGTGACTTTTAGCCCACCCTGTATACTAATATATCCATTTATACTGCCTTGGATGAATATATCCGAGAAAGCTGCTGTTCCGGAAACTGCTGTAGGGGCCGTGGCAGTTAGTTTTTAAAAGTTATTTGGCAGTAACGTTGATGTACGTGTATTTGATTCTGATGATATTTGCAGTTCATTGCAGTTCAAAAAGGTTTCGGTAACTCGCTTATAGAAATATAAGTGGGTTATATTTTGTTAGAAAAGAGATAGAGAGGTTGAGACTCACTTGCATTAGTGAGTAATGTATGGCATATTTTTTCATTATCTACATCATGTTTATCAATATATATATTTACTTGTTCTCTTTCTCATTCATCACGCCTGGGTCACCAATAGCAATGTTGAAATCCAACCACATCTCTTAGTAAAATCAATTCTGTGCCATTTTTTATCAGTTTTTCGTCGTTATGCGCTCATGATACGTCATTAAAAGAAGTCGGTACTTTAATTGCAATTATATATCTTTTGACAGGTTCCAATCAACCCACAACTTCTCGACGTATTAAGATAATTGCAATAGAACTTTGACCCTTCATTTATGCCAAACTTTAATTAGGGATCACTGATGGAAAGTGTGGCGCACATTGTGCGCCCAGTTACCTCTTGGGTCATATGTAGCAAACGGAGCTTTATTTTTCATCACCATTAATCCATCGTTAACTGCTCAGTCGCGTCAAGAAAATTCCACTTCTCTGTATTCCTAGTGAACGAATGCGGCAACACCGTCCCACTACCCGCTTCCCAGTACATAGCGGCGTATTCGCACCCCGGGTACGGCTGCAAGGCGTTCCCCGACGGCCCGACCTACAACTGCAGAGTCACCTTCACGGCAACTTCCAATATTGGCTTTAGATTCTCCGGGAAACCCTTTATTGGCAGTGACCGGTCCTGCGACGGCTACAATCTTACCGCTTCTTACGGCACTACGCAAGACGCTACCTTCTGCATCCTCTATCTTGTTAGTGGAGGAAAAGGCTTGAGTGTCCAATACTCTGGTTTGGTTATTCGTTAGTGACATACTCTTGCAGTTATAATAAAAATAAATAGGCGTGTTATATGGCGATACATCACACCGTGGTCATTATATGGACAAATTTGCGAATTATCGAGATAACTTTAAAAATATTCCTCCACCCGGCTAAACACTTGAAGTCAAAATGCTTGGCCTCAAGCCACACACGAACAGCAGCGCGAGTTTCATAATTGTGCAGTTTTCCTTTCATAAATCCTCAATATGCACGATAATCTTGATAATATATTTCTACATCATATATGAGTAGGAACTTTAGCGCTTAGTTTCTTTCTAATCAAAATACAATAATATCAGTTAGCATAAACATCAAACCGTAATTAATATAGGTTATATTCTCTCATTATTAAATTTAAAAGCGGTAATAGAGGCGGTCGGTGCTGCTGTTAACACACCTTTGTCTCTGCAGGAAGCTCTCGGGACCAACACGATGACATTAACGCTGCGGGGCACGGCTCTGGCTAAGACCTTCAAGGGAGGCTTCACCTTGCTACTGAAAACGTAATAAATGCTCGTCGTTTGCTCCCTACCAACGTCCGTGCCCGGCTTGACCTGGAATATCTGCTGCACTTTGAGTTCATTTCACATGATGATACTGAGACATTGATGAAGAACCCTCGTATCTGGAGAGGATGCCAGGGTCCTGTGCCCACATCATATCTGGAGAGGATGCCAGGGTCTTATGCCCACATCGTATCTGGAGAGGATGCCAGGGTCCTATGCCCACATCATATCTGGAGAGGATGTCAAAGTCTTATGCCCACATTTGAAGTTAGCTTTTCGAACAAATTGTGTTGCGGAGCTCAGAGGCCTTACGATTATAAACATTTAAAATTTTGTAACTCATAATCCGTCAGCCAATCACTGACGGCTTATCAAACCAAACCAACCAATCACAGACAAGAAATTGGTTGCTGTATATTGGGCCGACTTTCGATGGTACGGTCACTGAAGGGCCCACACAAGCCCGGAATGATTCATCAAACCCAAATGTACTATGAAATCAAAATTTTGAGCCCTCTAAATATAGGGTGATGAATGTGTTAGAAACAATATAAATACCATTTGAGAAAATTGAAACCTTTCCATTACAAAAAAATTTGGTCCAATGATTCTCTATGATTGAACATCAGCACACCAGTTTGAAAATTTTATTTGTGAAATGCTACACACGAGTGTGTTACTTTTTCTGTGTGAAGTGGTGATGCCACTGATTAGAATGAAGTTTTGCTAATTGAACGTTTCGTTATATACTTTTCTACTTTTCTTTTCGTCTTGATGTAGTGACTGCAACCGGAGCTATGCTTATCGATATAGGAGGTTGCGACGAAGAGTATTTATATTGATTTCAATACAACCGGTTATCTCGACATCTATTTTAATCTCATCAATCGCCTGATTGAACTTTTCTCTCGATAGAGTTTTTATGTAAGCTAATTACTGTCAGGTTGGTATTTTCTGTACATTGTCCGAGTGTTAATAGGTCGCGATGGAAGGTTCTCTATACTGGCAGCTACGACTTGACAAGGAGAATGACACACACGTTTATCTCCGACCTCATATACTAAAAACAATACCCTACGCCTAGTTACAGAGCCAGGAATGATGACAATAACGAGAGCACAGACTTACTTGCAGAAGAAAAATCTCATCCTACACCGATCTGGGCCGGAGACAACAGAGTTAGACAACTACTACGGGCTCCGAATAACTAATTGAGACTAATTCAGCGAGGCTAAATTAAAGTGGCTACAATGCACGCTTATAATTTAATCTACACAGTGGTACATCACCGGGCTTGTTTGAGACGATCTAGTCCCTGCGTGGTCTGGCTGTTGTCGTGGGTTGCAGTACGTTCCCGGAGTCGGGGATGCTCCGTGGATTCTCCTCACGATCGTGGCTTCGGCAGTCGTCGAAAACACGAGGGTGAAATAAGTCGCTCGGTGCAGGATGCTTGCCGATGAACAAAACTAGGACATGAGTATCTTCGCAGGTCGAGTCGTTCTTCTCTGTAGTCCTTCGATGTCGGCTTCAAGATAACTAGCTCGGCAGCAAGTCTGTCGTGGCTCTTCTTCTCGGTGATATTCGACGCCGTCGTTCAGTTTTCCTCTTGCGGCGAACTTGCTTGTGGAAGTTGACTTCGGTGACTATCAGTCGGAGATCGTATACAAGGCTCACGATATGTCTTACGTTAGTTAATACTGGTTGTCCGACTTGATTCTCAGTTAGCTCACTCGTCGCGGTTACTTGTAACACTTTATATCTCACACCCGAGGAGTTCTTTCCACAATTACGTCTATCTATCGGCTAAGTCAGTAGAACGCCGTCCAGTAGCTCTACACGTGCCACTGCGTCAACGAAACGGCCGATATCTTCTAACACCGGTACGGGACTGACTCGCGGTGGCCCGCTCGCTCTTAAATACCCCCCCGATATCGCGCATGCGCGCTAGACGGCTCGAGCTCCACCCCCCTAATTCAAAATTCGCTTCTAACCATCAATCCCTCTTCTTATCTTATTTATAATTTATTCCTATTCCTAATCACCACACACGTGTGCTGTTACTTTAGATGTGTGAAGTGGTGACATCACACATGAGTTTTACTTTATCTGTGTGATGTATGGGGCGTTTCAAGGTTATAATAGTTGTCGTGTGTTCTTTGTGTGTGAGTTATGGCAAAAAATTGAATGCATTGCATGAAATTAATAAACTTATTCGAGATTCTTTTCCTTGTTGATCGTCCATTGATATTATTTGCTGGAGTGTCCAGGTGGGGGCTAGATGATGGGGGTAAACTCCCCTTAATTTAGGGCCTGGACCCGCAGTAATGGGAGTATGATACATTAATTTTACCATCACCTGTACTACTTTGTTTCCCTGTAATCTAGTCAAGCCCTTACGAGAGTTCCACTCCCCCGTTAGTTTTCTCAGTGTTGCTTTCTGTCTCAGATGTTTTCTTCGTCATCAATAAAAGAGTTGCATTCACCCGTCGTTTCTATCTCCTGCTTTAACGCTAAGTGCCTGAGAAGAACTGGGACTATCAGGCAGTGAAGGATGTGTGGGACTATCAGGCAGTGAAGGATGTGTGGGACTATCAGGCAGTGAAGGATGTGTGGGACTATCAGGCAGTGAAGGATGTGTGGGACTATCAGGCAGTGAAGGATGTGTGGGACTATCAGGCAGTGAAGGATGTGTGGGACTATCAGGCAGTGAAGGATGTGTGGGACTATCAGGCAGTGAAGGATGTGTGGGACTATCAGGCAGTGATGGATGTGTGGGACTATCAGACAGTGAAGGATGCGTGGGACTATCAGACAGTGAAGGATGTGTGGGACTATCTGTCACTGCCTGGACTGGTGCGGATTCCTGCGCCAATGCGGCGGCGATGGTTCGACGGAAGTCGGCCCTGTAGCTGCGAAGGAATGACCACTCTTGACAGCAGCTTTAGAGATCAGTTGATATATAATTAAATTTTCCTAAAAACAATTGAATTTATACAATTGTTAAATTCAGCGATTCATGATCGTATCACGGCTGCTGGGTTACACGCATTGCCCACAGTCAAGCTATTAATTGAAATGTTAGAACAAGGTTATTTAGAGTCCCCAAATATACTCATATTAGGCAATAAGTTCACATCAGTGATACACGGTGAGATGCTCGTCAGGCGACGGCGTTGATGAAATGACGCTGTGGAAGGCACGCGGCCTGGCCAACAATTGTCAGCTTGTATTTTCTCTCAAATGAAATCTAAATTTAAACAACTTATTCCTAATTATTTGGCTACTGCTGGTTCATTGCATATATCCTAACACGGACACATTCCATACACACACATTACCTATATTATCATCGGCTAGGCATTACAGGTTAATTACAGTTTACTGTTGAGGTATTTCAGTTAATACTCTAGTACAGTAGCTACAGAAGTTTGTATCTAATGCATAAGGAGCATCCGCAAAGTATCTACGCATCGTTCGCAAAGAATTGATGTCTTTCAATAAGAATTTAAGTGAATGCCGGTCAAATAAAACCTCAAATTATAGTTCAAGTTGATTCCGTGTTGTAATGATTGCATTCACAGCGCCAGTCTCTGAACTAATGCCTTTAGCTAAAATGTGGTGCTTAGTCTTCAATTAATAATCTGGTGGAGCCAATGTTAGTCAGGCTGGCCTGACATCTCATCATGCGAGACATTTCAGCGTATAACAATTCATCATTGGGGCATTTCATTATTATTTGAGAAATTTCATCACCATAACAGTAATTATTATTACAGTAATTTATCATAAAATATAACTACATCTAGGTTGCGTTAGGTTAAATTGTTAAGGGATTAAATGTCTCGTATGAGGAGATGTTAAGAGAACCTTTCGTCATCGTGCAGTGCTGGGGAACTGGGGCTAGTGCCATATGATGGGTGACGCCTGAACCTTGCAAACGTCATAACTGTTAGCCACAATAAGTTGTGCAGTGACTGAGCTACTGCTAGTGACATTAGTGACGTCTGCTTCTCGTCAATCTTACTTTGTTGCCACTAGTCTTCTATACTCAGGTTTATGTAAAGTATCCAAGTTAATAATTAGTTACTGGAACTCGTCTTTATATGTGAGTAAAATTCTTTATATGTGAGTAAAATTCTCTATATGCCAGTAAAATTTTTTATAAGTGAGTGAAATTCAAGTGTACTTGTTTCACTTATGATCAGAACTTCATCTCCGCATCTCTGCATGGCATAGAATAAGTCCTGGAATCCTATCGAGGAAATGCATCTCCAATGAGCGCACAAACACATCGCAAACTTCCGGCGATCTTCTATATCCCAAAGTTGAATCCCTATAGAATGTGGATTTTTTTCGCAGGAATGCTCCCATGTAATAAGCAAAGGCATATCCGCAAAACCGATGGTCCTAATGCTCGAGCAGAATAGATGAAAGGTTTTAGAGGTCTGAGTAACCCAATTTCTTGGATCTTACCCCAAAAAATTGCAAAAAATTTGTATGGGGTCAAAATGCTCAAAATCATAAAGAATGTTAAGGATGAACGGCTACCTGTTTTATGGTATTTTCCCTCTTTATGAAATTTATGAATAAAAGAATGAACGAATTAAATGAATTAATGAATTAAATGAATGCAATATGAGGCTAGAAGATCGTGTAGTAGAGCTAAAAAAGTCAACATAAGGAAAAACGATAAAATTAATTTTTTGACAAAATAGATTGTCTCATTAGGCAAAATTGGGAAATTCCCCTTGAACAAGTAGTGCCCCATTCCTAGTTAGATATTTGAATCCACTTATATGTACAGATGATTTGTATAATTGTTCAAAAATAGCTTGCAGCCTTTCATTCCTTATAAATACCTCACTACTCATGGAAGTCTCCCATTATGCGTTATTCGCTCACATCCTAAAATCTATATAAGCCCTTAATATTATAGCAATATCGAGGTGTTCGTTTCGAAATCTTTAATATGCAGACCGGACAACAGTTGCATCAGTCATTTATAGCAAAACATTTTGTTCTATTTAATACCGCTTTAATCTATGCTTATCACCGCAGTAATGGATGTTGAAAACGCGATTATAACGTTGCCTTCTATGCAACCAAGCATTCCACCTGTAATGATGAAGGCCGACAACTTGAGGCTGGGCGCTCGCGCTGGCAGATGCTGATGCAGCTCCACCTAAAAAGTCCTAAATGGTAGCCAACTTTACTTGCAAAATCATAAGACATATCAACCGAGTGACGACCTCATCCGGCCCATGTTAAAGACGCAGTAAGCTCATCAATTGCAATACATGTCTTCTTTGACGTAGGTTCAACAATTGGAAGAAAACTGCTCTTAAATCTACCATTGATGCACAGAAAATTGCCTTCAAAGAAAGTATATTTACCTCTAATTCCTGCCGTCCCAGCTCTGGATGCCTGCGTGTGTGGGTTTTGTTTCGGTCTTTAATATAGTTGGCCTGAAATGGTTCTCCAGACCAAGTAATTGATCATTTTTAGCGCATTTCTCATTTATTGGAAAAAGGCGCTATTGTGCTTGTCATGTCCGTCCGTCCATGACGTCCGTTCGTGAGGGACGGACGGACGGACGTGAGGAAATGCGCTCTCAGTCACACACTGCAGTGAGTACTGATCTGAAATTTTGAATGTGCTTTGTTCGGAAATATATTGATATTTTCATAGACCGCTCGCAAATTTCGTCTTGAGATTATACTGCGATTGTGAAGCTAACGAAAATACGAGGTTAACGTGCTTGTACGCTCGGTCAGTAGCGACGGCTAGTGCAACTTTCCAGTGAATTCAGCCATTATTCATCTGCTAACTGCCATCATTTATATTAATAATGGTAGTGCTAACACCCATTATTTATCCTGTCACTGGCCTCGTGTTAGGGGGAGCATGTACTTTAGTTATCGGCGAAATGTCGTTTTCTGTTTTTTATTCTCATATTTACAGTGAACTATTTCATATTCAGTGGAGAAGACTACAGTGCTTTAGCACTTTTCGGCGGGTTTTAGTCACTTGGTCCGGGTCCGGCGGACCGGTTCGGGTCCGGATTTTAGTCAGGACCCTCTTTTCGGTTTCTCGTGAGATCATTTCGAATTTCATGAAATGAACAATATATAACCATTATATATAAAACGTTTTAGAATAGATATCTATTTATAGCTCATTACTCGCGTTAATTGCAATTTGTTTGCACTCGATTTAAAGCTGCAATCAAGACGCGTTCAATAAAGCCGCAACCACGGATGTAAATGACACAATTTTTCACTCGGGTCGTTTTGAAATTGTATAAAAATGACATTTATAACAATATCTGAACATTTTTATTAAAAATGGTATTTTTTGATCATTATTCAACTTATTTGAAATTCGTTTGCACTCGATTTTAAGCTGGAAGACTTGTTCAATAGAGGCACAACCATGGTTGTAAACGAAGCAATTTTTGATACGGGTAGTTTTGAAATTTTATAAAAGGACCATTTACATAAACAAATCCGCAAGAAAAAGAACATCTATAGCTTACTATTTGCGTTAAACTGGATAGGAATAATTTTAATAAGTCATCGTTAATACGAGTAATTGGCAATGAGAAAGCTTGGGCCACAGCATCAAGCAATTTTTTCAGCATTTTCGTCTTCTTTCAAAAAATTTTAGTTATTTGGCTCTCCGGAAGACTTGAAAATTTCATGTTGAAAATCTCCTATGATTTTCAAGCTAAAGCATTGAGAGATACACCATTCGGTTCGTAAAAGCCAGCTCTGGCGATCATTCGGTCACTTATTCTAATTTCATTCATGTTTGTATTATATATTGAAAAATTGGGAGGGGGAGGCCAAAATCGAAAAAATCCGAATAAAAAAAGTTGGAAAAAATGACCGAATTATCGCTAGATATAGTCTCTACGAATCGAATGATATTTCTCTCGATGTTGTAGCATTGTTAATTGATGAGGAGACAGATTTTTACATTACCTCCTTTTATGCCGTTTTCTACGAAAACGGCAAAAGAAAACGGTCAAGTACATAAAAGCCAGACAACTAACCTGGATGACAGTAGTTAAAACTTCTTTCAATATCTCATTCATAAGTCGTTCAAAAAATATCACTTCTAGGCAGCAGCAGTACAATTACCAGCACGAAAGTCAAGACACGAATACGAATCTAAATATATCAGGAACTATGCGAATAATTCGTTTACAAACTGGAATACGCAACCCTTCCTCTGCAACTTCTCCCACTAGAGAAATAAATTTAGGCTTGGGAATACCGCATCACAATCCTATTCTCAGATCTCGTCTAATGAAACAGTTTACTTTAGACTCACATTAGATGATGCGAGCAATATACTTGTCACGACGAGACCTCTTCATGAGGAGTCTTGTCTATACATGAGCATGGGTTCATCAATAGTTAAAACGCTGTCAGTTGTTGCCTGACTGGCATTCCTGCCAAATGTCGACGCTTGTGGTGA